TTAGAAGGGAGGAGGGTGTCCCAGAGTCAAACGCGGTGGGGGGGCTGACAGTTGGATTGGAGGGGAGCGAGCAAAGCGAGCGGGGGGGGGCGAAGCCCCCCGGGGTTGGCGAGCGAAGCGAGCAGGGGGCGATGCCCCCTAGTATATATATAAACTCAACTGGGAGATAAGCCGACTTGAACCGTTCTACCACTTCGCTACTGAAATGATTTTTATGGTGAAAAATTGATTGTTTATAAATTATTTTTAAAAAATGTTCGCCATTTTCAAAAACGTCAATTTTTAAATGATTTCAGAAATCTTTCTCCAAAAGTAAACTCTCCAATTTTTTCAGATTTTTAAAATGTTTTGGCGCTCAAATGAAAAGCATTTCACTGGAGAAAAAATAGCCAACGAGCTTGGATATTCTTAGGGGTGCCAAGTGAATTTGGCGATGACCTTGAAAATTGACATTCACCAACAAAGTTATAATTTTTTAAATTAATAGTATTAGACAGATGGTGAACATCGGTGACAATTTAAAAATTTTAGAACTTATGGATATCAAGAAATTAAATAAACAAAATCAGTCTTATACTCCGCCTCTTATGGAGTTTTGATTAAATTGAACGTTTCAACCCCCTAGGAACTCAAGAAAAATTTGAAAAAATTTGAAGATATGGGGAATGATTTGTTCAATGTGACGGCGACAAAAAACAATGGGGTACCGGGGTGAATAAGAGAGATATTTCAACCCGCCGTACCCATTTGATCCCATGCTTTCTCGAGGTTCGTCACACGAAATAGAGGATTTTCCGCATTTATTAACTTTTTTCTCGATGTCTAGTTCCGGTTGCGGGTTTGAAATTTCGCCGGATGGATGAATACATATTTCTCCAATGATGGAGGGAAAGAAAAAATTTTTTTTGAATCTTTTTTCAAATTCACTTGGCACCCTTAAGTCCCGATTAAATTAATATTAACATCAACATCCTCAAGCGGAATTCAGTGATGAAAGAACGCATTTGAAATGCCCCGTTTATCACCAAAATGACATTTTTGAAGTGACGATTTACGTTTATTAGGCGAAAATTTCAGGGGAATATTAAAAGAAAATTGGGGAAGTGTTTTGGAAGAATTTGAGGAACAATTTCTCATCGCGGTAATCCTATCCGGAGCTGCGCGCTCCGTATTTTAGTCTGCAAAACTTCTCCCCCTCGTTGCTACGCACCAAAACAATCGGGAAATATTCGATAATTTCCGAGGTCTCGTGGTATTACTACTGATAAAAATAAAAATTGCCGTGCTGGTAGAATAAAATTATCTACCTAAAAATTATTGTACTGGAAGGGTAAAATTTATTATGCGTCAGGATAAAATTCCTCCAACGTAGAATAAAATTTGATCATCATATATTAATTTTCGCTAAATTTCGGGATAGAAATGAGGAAACGATGGCTCATGATACACTTTTATAGAACGATAGGATAATTTTTATAAAAAATTTCTCTCCGTGTACCACAAAAGTCGGAATACCTATATTCCAGTGGTAATATTGATCTTTATTTCGGAATAGAAGAGGCTACGCTTCCGTCCTCAGGGGTTTTGCCCCCAGTGCAATCATCCCCGGAGGCTGCTGAAGAGGTGGAGATGGATGTGCCACGTCGTTTCTCAGAGACAGAACGTCTGTTGATAGATAGTTTAGATATCGATGAGGATCGAACAAAACACACTGGCAGATTTCTCACGATGCACAAGAGACGACGCAAACGGCTAACAACGAGATCCCTGAGTCAGGATCCGGGACTTTTGGATGATATTTTTCATGGACAAGTGCAGGTAAAAATAATTAAGGGGAGACTACTATTCATTACTAGTCATTAGATTTTTTATAAATGATGATAGCCTACATTAAAGATATTACGGTAATACTAGGGGAGGGAGGGGTAAAATGGACACTTTAGACTTTTTTAAAATTATTCATAACTCAGAAACAAATTTATCAATTGAGCTCAGTTTCGGCTCGTCACAAAGGGAAATAATTGTTCTTTGTATTGAAAAAAAATTATTAAATTTCATGAAAATTTCAACCCCTCAGTGTCCCTTTTACCCCAACCTCCCGTATACTATATTATATATACTATGTATAATATACAATATATAATACTATATGTATCATAAAATATAATGTGCATAATAAAAAAATGAAACAATAAACTGATAATAATAACATTCATAATGTATTATAATATAGTATAGTATGAAATATTACATAATAAAGTATTATCGTAATATCTTCAATGTATACTACCACGATTTATGAAAAATCTAATGACACAATAAGCCAAATAGTTTGGCTTCAAAAAACGTTACACTGGATATTTTATTAAAGGAGATAATCGATCTTCAATATAAGAGAAATCTCATTCCAATAGTTCGCGACTTTTAAAACTCCCATCACATCATGAGGTCATAAACTCGAATAAATATTCACGCATTCTCCGTTCTGTCGTATTACCACCTATTCCCTATTTTGTTCGCATGTCGCTTGTGTCTCATCCTCTCGTCTTTGTCGTAAAAACTCATTGTGTGCTTGAATTCAAACTGTTGCAGTGCATTTTGCTGAGGGCCGGCCACTGGCGCTTCAACGCTTTCACCCTGGAGACTGTATCGGGAGGTGAGTGTCCTCCCATGCATATTTTCTTCATCAATCACCGATTCATTCGTCTCTCCTCCCTTTGTTTTCTCCTCCTGCTTTCAGTGTTTTCATTTATTTTCTTTTTTTCACCATCAACATCTTACGCAACTCAGTCCAAATAAATTTCAACCCAAGGCGCAGTGTCACGAGACAAAAAAAAAACACATGCCCGAGGTATTCGGTGAGAGCGTGATAGTTGTCTTAATGCTGGTCAATTTTTCTAGGTCGTTCTCTGCCAGTAATGTGTGTACACCTGTTCCAATGGTACGGTCTACTGCAGCAATTCAATTTGGACGTAGTCAGGGTGTGGAAGCTATTCGGTAAGTGTTTCAACATTGACATTGTTTTCTAGCCTCATTACCATAAATACAGTTTTGTTTATTTCTCATTTTGAAAGTGAGAAATGATTTTTTTTTTCTCCTCCCATTATTTCTGGGGCCATTTGTATACTCGTGCGAGCACAATTGGATGACAGGCTCTGGTTGCTGTTGTAATACAGGCGGCTTCATTGATTTATCATGAATTATTTATATTTGTCTTTCAGCCCTTATTGAGGAGGGCTATCACAGTACAAATCCTTATCACAATAGCATACATGCCACTGACGTCACGCAGGCGATGCATTGTTTCCTGCAAGAGGACAAAGTAAGTTTTACTCGTATCGTCTCGATCTTTTTGCTCATATGAGGACTTTTTTAAAATCAGGTTTTCATTTTAAAAGAATAGCCATTATGGACAGTATTTACGTGCCTTCAAAATTAGTATTCAGAAAAATTTTATGTACAATATTTTAGAAAATCTGTTAACTTTGGCCGTGTGTAACTCTTGAGATGATTTACTATCGTAAAAGAAATTCTTTGTGTTTATTTCTCTTATAGATTAAGGCCCGGATGTACTGTCTTTCGAGGGTTATCTCGATGTTTTTTTCATCTTTCGTCATTCTGAAATTGTCAATTAAGTCCGGCATCATGCAGTAGTTTTGAAAAATTATGAATGAATAATAAAAAAAAGCAGAAAAAATTCTTAATTTTTTCAAAGAGCATTTTTGATTTATATTCAGAATAAGTTGAATAACAAGAAATTGAAAAATGTATCTGATTTACGGTGACAAATGGCGGCCTGTCACCCAATATCATGCAGGGGGAAGAAGGATTTCGTAAATCTTTTCCCACATTGCACAGAGACACTTATTACGGAAAAGGGTCTTTAAAAGAAGTTGTAATATTTAGGAGAATTTTTTAATCACACTTTTATCACATAAAAATGGAAGATGACTACATACCACTGTTTTGGAAATTGAGATACCTAGCTGTCACTTCCCATGAGGAGTTAGTGTTTTGTTATCCACCGCGGAAAATGACAGCTAATAGATAATTTTCCACAGCGAATCAGATATTTGTAATTTCCACTTTTTTCAACTCATTCTGAATCTCAATTGAAAACGCTCTTTGAAAAAGTTCAGAATTTTTTCTATTTTTTTTATCATTCTATCATAATTTTTGGAAATTTCTACATGATGTACCCTCAATTGACAATTTTGCATTACGAAAGATGAAAAAATTCCAGATAACATTCGAAAGATAAGTAAGTTTTACTCGTATCGTCTCGATCTTTTTGCTCATATGAGGACTTTTTTAAAATCAGGTTTTCATTTTAAAAGAATAGCCATTATGGACAGTATTTACGTGCCTTCAAAATTAGTATTCAGAAAAATTTTATGTACAATATTTTAGAAAATCTGTTAACTTTGGCCGTGTGTAACTCTTGAGATGATTTACTATCGTAAAAGAAATTCTTTGTGTTTATTTCTCTTATAGATTAAGGCCCGGATGTACTGTCTTTCGAGGGTTATCTCGATGTTTTTTTCATCTTTCGTCATTCTGAAATTGTCAATTAAGTCCGGCATCATGCAGTAGTTTTGAAAAATTATGAATGAATAATAAAAAAAAGCAGAAAAAATTCTTAATTTTTTCAAAGAGCATTTTTGATTTATATTCAGAATAAGTTGAATAACAAGAAATTGAAAAATGTATCTGATTTACGGTGACAAATGGCGGCCTGTCACCCAATATCATGCAGGGGGAAGAAGGATTTCGTAAATCTTTTCCCACATTGCACAGAGACACTTATTACGGAAAAGGGTCTTTAAAAGAAGTTGTAATATTGAGGAGAATTTTTTAATCACACTTTTATCACATAAAAATGGAAGATGACTACATACCACTGTTTTGAAAATTGAGATACCTAGCTGTCACTTTCCATGAGGAGTTAGTGTTTTGTTATCCACCGCGGAAAATGACAGCTAATAGATAATTTTCCACAGCGAATCAGATATTTGTAATTTCCACTTTTTTCAACTCATTCTGAATCTCAATTGAAAACGCTCTTTGAAAAAGTTCAGAATTTTTTCTATTTTTTTTATCATTCTATCATAATTTTTGGAAATTTCTACATGATGTACCCTCAATTGACAATTTTGCATTACGAAAGATGAAAAAATTCCAGATAACATTCGAAAGATAGTACACCCGGGCCTTAATGTTTTAATTCTTGCAGTCAATAGGTATTAGCTGCTTTTTAAACTCAATGATGAGATCAAGGCCCGGCCTGCGCGGTTGCTAACTTGGGGGTCTGTTCACACGCTCCACGGTAACTTTGATCGTGGATATATGGGACGTTTTCCCGTGGATTCAAGGTAATTTCTACCGTGGTTCTACCAGAGTTCATAGCAGAGATGTCAAGCAAGACACTTGACTCTAAATTTCAATGTTTCAAAATTATATTCATTAATCAGACGTATTTTCGTCTTTAAATAGTTAATTTAACAATCAACAGGGACTAGATTAGGTGGTTTTCATAAATGTGTCTGTTTCAGAAACGGAACCGCAGTTCGATACATCTCGTACGTTAATGTAGACTGATATTCGTATTCAACGAATTAATATTTTGAGAAACTTATTTACTGGTCTACTGTCTGCGTATCACTTATCAATTGATTCGATGTGCCTAGTTTATTGTCTAGATTTAATTTGAGAAGTAGAAGAACGGTAGAATTTACCTTGAATCCACGGGAAAAAGTTCCGTATATCTGCGGTCAAAGTTACCGTCGAGTGTGTAAATAGACACTGCCTTTTTCGCACTCTCGAGCTTTCTCTTTATATATTTATATACGTTAGCATTCACAAGGGTCACGAGGGACACAAAGCTCAAAAGGGTCTTAGGATCACGTGTATTTTACAATGAGAATGATTATAAACGATTGATTGAAAAAATTCTTATGATAAAAATAGAACACATTTCGTTGCCCCACCGTCAGTGCAAGTCAATTAACTCAAGTATCACATCTATTTTTCAATAGATAAGAAAAAATCTCACTGGTGTAGAGATCATGGCCTCTCTGATAGCCGCCGTCACCCATGATCTCGATCATCCTGGGGTTAATCAACCGTTCCTAGTCGCAACCAGCAATCATCTGGCCACTCTGTACGAGGTAAATAAAAACAATAAACCCGGGCGAATTATTTTCGACGAGGGACTGGGAATAAATCGCAATCGCTATCGGCTCTTTTTCAGAATACATCAGTATTGGAAAATCATCACTGGAGGTCGGCAATTGCTTGTTTACTCGAGAGCGGTGTTTCCGAGCAGTTGTCACCCGAAATCCGGGCGAAGCTTCAGCGATACATCAGCTCATTGATCCTCGCTACTGATATCACCAGGCAACAGGAGTTTCTGACTCGTTTCAGGGTGAGTGAATTAAGAGCCGGGGGGGGGCTGTCTCTT